GACGCCTCAGGAAGAGGAATCTTAACCAGCCCAGAGTTGGGGCTGAGGGGTAAAAGAGAGAGGCTCATGGGGCCCCTTCAGAGTTTGGGCCAAGTGCATTTTAATATGAGGGGGTCTGAAACTCAACCAGCTGGATTCACAGGAAGCAGACTAATTGAATCAGCTGACAGATATACACAAAATCCAAGATCTTTTCAAGTTTAAGAATCGTGTATTAATAGAAACTGCACAAGTGTTTCCTGGGGGATCTCAGGGCATTGCAGATCTGCAAGTTCATCAGAGTCTGCCCTGCATCCAGAAGCTCTTCCCTCAGCCCCTGCATCTCCAGATGCAGATGTTTAGCTTGGGCATCTTACAAAAAAAGCTCCAGCTCCTCAGACACTCCCTCTGCTCTCCATTTGTTCAGTCAACCTTATTCAGCCCAACTGATCCATGCCTGATGGACTCCATCTCACCTGTGCACAGCACTATTTAAACTGTCCTCAGCCTCAGCCTCGCCGCCCAGTTATCAGCATCCTGGTACCTGTGTTCATTGTGTGCTCGTATTATTCCAGCCCTGATCTCTGCACCTTTTCTGGTATCTTGACTACAACTCCTTGTTTTCACCACTGATTTTCGCTGCATCCTCAATACGTTCCTAAACTTCTGCCTCTCTTTCTGCGTCTGTGACGCCTGCAAAGACTTTAGACCAGAGCAGATCTGCAAGTTTCAATGAGCTTCAATTTTGTTTTATGTATATAGCGCCTCTCAAGATAAAAATCATGAGGCGTTTCATAAGAACAAAAATTTAAAAAAATTATTAAAAATATCATAAAAATTAGAAAAAAAATGTGATTAAAATTTTAAGGAAAGGGAAAGAGAAAATGAATAAGAAAGAGGGAAATTACTGGATCCTGGGAAAGGCAGAATTGGTAAAAAGAGGAGAATAAGGAGAGGGCGGTGATGAAGGTCACACCAGAGCCAGGCTGAACAGGTGGGTTTTCAGCTGCTTTTTAAAGGAGACCTCTGAGTCCACTGATCTCAGGCTCAGAGGGAGAGAGGTTTAGTCAGATGGACAGCTCCCTTTCTGTTTACAGGACCGTACCCTAGTTCAGGGGTTCTCAATTATAATGGTCCGAGGGCCACTCAAAAAAAAAGACAGAAGGGGTGCGCAGAGTTCGGGGGGCCACAAAGAGGGGGCCCGCGGACCGCCTATTGAGGACCACTGCCCTAGTTATTATTGATAAAAAAAATAGAATCAGCTTTAAAAAATGGTGTATTTGGTGCAAACTCTGTAAAACCAACCTGACTGATAATGATGTGGATGAATCTGACTTCCCTTTAATGACCAAGTCCAATCTGGCACATTTTAGGTTAAGCTGTGTATTACTCATTTGACGGTGAGCTATGTGGTAATGTTTTCTCATGAAACTATTCATTTAAATAAAAAAAGTGGAGTCATTTTAAAAATTTCATTTACAGCAAAAAAAATGTCAGAAAATTATTTTGTTTTGTTTTGTTTTACTTGCGTGAGGAAGGTTAAGTTCTATCACAGGTAGATTATAATTCCTGTGGTTTATCTGTCTGTATGAATCCATCGTTCTGTGTGATTCATTCTTCTGTCATCTCGACTAACAGCTGTTGTATAAATCTGGCTTTTTGAGTCCATTTTAAACATAATCTGGGGTTTTCTGTTTCCCTCCCTGCTGTTTTTTCTCCTTCTGTCTCCATCTCATTTTTCTTGCTCGACTAAACCCAAGAGAAAGTAATCTGATTATTCAGCTAAAGTTATTGTCCTTGAAATCAGTTAAATACACCACTCTCTCTGTGTTGTCTACATGTTTTCTGTATTTTTCTTTTATCACAGAGAATAAAACAGCAGTTTCCATCTATTTCCTGCCTGATTCACAGCACTGAGCTCCAGATGAAAGTTAATATCTCCAACTGGACCTTCTAACTTGCTCTTCTTAATGTGATTTAATGGGGGTTAGTTCCATTTAAAGACTGGTTCTAATTTACTGCATACCACAGTAATTCACTTAGACCATCCAATCGGATTACAGCACATTTCTCTCGTCTCCTGGTTTGTGTTTTTTCTCACATTTATTGAATGTTTTCTGAACTGAGTCATTAACTCGATGAGCTTCTAATCACATGACTAAAGTTTGATAGATGAATACTTTCTGAACTGATTGACACACTTGGGCCGTTTCTCGATACACAAGTACACTAAGTGCGTTCTTGTGTACTTGACAAGGATGATCTTGACAAGTGCAGCAGAAAGTCCGTTCTACAGCTTCGCTATTACAGCTTTAGATGTTGTTGGTAACTGACTTTGTTTTTGTTTCCTTTCATCACTGAGAAAAATGAATCCAAATGCAGCTTCAAAAACAACTTTTCCTACAGTTGAACATAATTTACAAGATGCATATTTCTCTCTCGGATCGCAGCTGCCGTGTTTTATGTTCGGAAACCTCCGTTGCACCTATGATGCTGTGTGTTGGGGCCAAATCAGATTAAAGGTGAAAGAGAAGGAAAGCAGCTGCTCCATCAAAGTTTACATACTTCCTGTTCATCTTTTGGAAAGATGGAAACTATTTTTGGAGGTAGAATATCTGGAAACAAGGCTAGTTATGAGGAGTGGCAGGGAAACTAGAACAGAACAGAGTCCACCTGATAGAAAAGCGCAAACGTCTCTGTCGCATGTCTCTTTTTGTTTTGCCTTTCTCAGATCCTTGTTTGACCCTCCTCTCTTCCCTTGGTTTCTCTTTTTACTCTGGTGAGTCTCAACCTGCTGGACTCTCGCTGATCTAATCCGATGTCTAGTGGAGCTTTGTGTGTATTTGTCCGACCGATGCCTGTTTTGGTTGTTTTCAGGTACAAATAATAATAGAAAAAAACATCGAAATCATTTTCAAATTTTTATGTTGAAAATCTTGATTATTTGAGGCTTTGTGGAATCATTTTGTTTTCTAAAACCCACCTTAAATTGTAAATTTGCACAAGGTGGTTACAGTATATTGAGAGTAATTTTTTTATAAAGGGAAATTATTTGATTTCACTGTTCAGCAGCTTTAAATGTTCTATATAATGCTATTTTACACCTTTGAGAACAAAGGTAGGCACAGTATATGATAGGAATTACCGTTAGCACAATAGAGAAATATTGAATCCTAAATATGAGTTATTTTCATCAGCCTGAATTTATACTTGGAAAGAAAATGCTTTTGTTTTAGTTAAACTCCGCTCAAGCCCACTGAGGCAAAACCTGCCTTTAACAGCATCTTAGGCAAGTTAAGCAATGGTAGTCCAGTGGTTAAGGCATGTGCCTGCTGTCTCAGTTTTGTCATGTGCTGATGTGGGTTAGAATCCTGGTGGTGTCAGCAGTAATTTATTTAGCCAGCTGTAGCAGATTAGCTCAGACCAAGATACAAACCTGCATGCCAGCCTAGCACTCTAACCACTGGACTACCAATCTGCTGCATGACAGCAGGCACCACATATCCTGTGCTGGCCAGGGAAGATGGGTTTCAAACTAGAGACTAGCTTTCGGGAGAGGAGCAGGGCCTGATGACAAGACTAGTTTCCATTCATGAGGAAATAACAATATCACATGGTAAAAAGCTCCCAACAGTGGATTTTCAATGATATGGCCTTGTTAAAACAGTAAATTAAACAAAGTTAAATGTGTTTTTAAAAATAAATTTAACTGAATAAACTAATGGTATTATAATTTACAGTGGTGCCCCCAGATCATTTTCATGGGGGGGCCAGATGGGCCAGAGAAAACGTTGGGGATGGCACACCAGATTGGTCTGTGTGGTAACTCTAGGAGCGTTTAGCCTGTGGTGATGCATTGCACGCTTCTTTTTTTATTTTTCATTAAAAATTAATATTCATCCAACATGCTTACCTCAAATTTGAAGAGCGCTTTTATTTTATTTTTTTTCAAGCCGGTATTTGGAATGTTATTTTAAAATTTATTGTAGAATTTAAAAAATCACTTTAATTGCTGTCCTCACAAAAACATCCACAAAAACTATAGTGATTAAAACTTTTGTGTTTTAAGAATGGTGAGCCAGAGAAACAAAAACGTTTTTAAAATCTGATCATTTATTTACTTTGTATGTTTTTTTTTTACTGGATTTTGCTTTTATGTCTGATCAAATAATATGAATTTATAGTTTGCACAAACGTTAATATGATTAATTAAAGAGCGTTGGTCTCCTCTGGTGTGGCCATGGGGTGGCCAGCAGCTTTCTGGTGGTGGCCCTGGCTACCCCTTAAGTGCACCACTGGTAATTTAGTCATGACCCAAAGCTAGGCCATTGGTTAGTGTTCTAATTAAACATTAATTTGGTATCGAAATCTGGATTTTAAAATATTGTAATAAGACTAACCAAATTTTGCAAATCATTTTTTTTAGATCACATATCAGAACTGGAGTCTTTTCTCTAGTTGCTGTGGCTTTTTATGTAGTTCAGGCATGGACCACACTCCAGGGAAGATAAGTGATGGACAGCTTTTTTTTAAATAAACTTCAGCCTCATTGTTCACAAAGCTCTGGTAAACTTTGGTCTCCAGCTTCAGAAAACCTAAAACCTTCGGTGGCCTGATCTTTTTTTAAGCCGATCCACATTTTCTCAGATCAACGTTAGTTGGCCACAGACCTGGATGAAAGACTAGAGCCCCCTTTGTAAAGTGCCAGCTAATGCACAATGACATTTTTATTCTTTTTGGGGGGAACTAAAAGCTTATAGTTGCCTTTCTATCCAACTCTTCCAGACATTGTTTAAGGAGCATTGACCTGCACTGATGCAGCTGCGTCTGCCAACTTTCTCAGATTCAGTCAAAAGAAACAAAGAAGCAAGCCGAGCATTGAATATTTAGTTAGTCGAGGTACATCGAGGAAATACAGTAAAAAAAAAAAAAAAAACAAGACATGCAAATACTAATTGTGCCATTCTTATACTTCATAGTAAGTTTAAAAAACTGCTTTTATTGTGTGTTTAATTTTTCAGCCCAACATTGGGCATCTAGGCGTCCCTCGTGGACCCTCAGCAGAAAAGGTGGCAGTGGTTGTCGTGGATGACTGTGACATCTCCATGGCGATTCGCTTCGGAAAGCAGATTGGCAACTACTCGTGTGCTGCGCAGGGCACCCAGACAGGACAGAAAAAGTAAGAACCTTTTCACTTTCACTTACTTTCTCTCCAACGCAACGTGTTTCAGCTCAACTTGGTCTTCACCCATGTGGCATTTCTGACATGGTAGATGACCATGAGCTCACCTCTCTCTCTCTCTCACTCACACACACACACACACACACACACACACACACACACACACACACACACACACACACACACACACACCAGTTTCTAATTTTCTGCTGTGAGACGTTATTTAATGAGTCACTCACAAATCCTGCGTGCTGAGACACATGCAGTATGTGGAGGGTGGGGACCGAGAGGAGCTTCAAAGGAGACGCAGCAATGCTACATTCCTAAGAGAATTCGTTGCGCGGGTCACACACACTCAGACGACACTTTAAATACATCACACTGAGTGAGTTGGGTCTTTGTAATCTACAAACCTTCTGAAACTGAAAATTTCCTTTAAACGTTGAATCAGAAGATCAGATTTAGGTTTTTAACTCTCAGATCCTTCAGCAGAAATGTCATCAAGACTGTGATAGCTGGGGACTGAACAGGAATACGCCTTATTTCTGAGTTTATCTCTTCATGTGTTCAGTAAAAATATTAAAGGTGCCTGATGATTGTTCACATGTTTCTGAATTCTTCTCTCAAATATTCCCGTGTCTGCCAACTCAAAACATCCAATCACATTTTAAGATCTGTTTTAATCTACAGAAAATAATTAGTCTATTATTATTATTATTGTTGTTGTTGTTGAATTTGGTTTGTACCATGGTCACCTTAAAAGAAATTTTTCTTTGCTATTTTAAGAAAATTCACATCTTTGCTTTTTGCAGATCACTGGATTTGACAGGACCGTTGCTGCTTGGAGGAGTTCCCAATCTTCCCGAGGACTTCCCGGTCAGGAACAGGAACTTCGTGGGCTGCATGAGAAACTTCACCATCGACAGCAAGGCCGTTGACATGGCTAGCTACATCGCTAACAACGGCACCACTCCGGGTTAGTTGTCTACTCTTGAAGTGACATGTCCTCATTTAGATCAACAACAGGAAAACGTTTAGATTTTCCTTCTAACGCATGTTTACCACATGTACGCTAATGACGCTCACCTTTACTGTCCAGGCTGTCCTGCTAAGAAAAACTTTTGCACAAATGGCGTGTGCCTGAACGGAGGAGTGTGTGTCAGCAAGTGGAACACCTACAGCTGTGACTGTCCTACAGGTTACGGCGGGAAAAACTGTGAACAAGGTGGGAAATTTTGTGGGGGGGTTTCTGGAAAAAATTCTTGGTTTGTTTAGGAAAATATGAATAAAATTTGCATGTCAGATTGTTTCTGTGCACATTCATCCCTCCATTTGCAGCTCCGTGTGACAAAACGCATTTAATCACCTACGATAGAACCTGTTCGGGAAGCCGTGCATCTCCTAGCAGATCCCACAGGATAAGGAACACCTCTGACTCCGTTTGAGTCATGCAGCAGCTACAATGGAAATTCAAACTCAGCTCACTATTGTCGAGTCACTAAGCTTCGCCTCAGGTTTGGACTTTTAGGACAATGGGAACTTCTGGCTCTGACTCACAGACTTAAACCTAAACTCCAAGGATGAAACTAAAGACTCACACACCCGTCCTAACTGCTATTCCAGCTGATTTGGAGCAAACTTGCTCTACAGTACAAACCTTCCTATTGTATAAGCTTTACTAGGATTCCCTTGTTAGCCAAGTAACAATAAAATCCACCCCAGTGTGCTGCCAGTGTTGCTGTTTACACCCCCTCTTGTTTTGGTCTGCTGAGAAGAGTAAGGAGAGAAGACTGATGTCCTTCTTCAGGGCGAGGTTCCAAACAATGTTTTAAAGGTGTGAATGCCCCTCTTCCCCCTCTCACCCATGAGGTAGCTTGTCATCCAGTGCCAGGCCCCGTATCCAGTATCTGAATCCAGTCCGGATTAGACGAGCTCTGAAGAGGATCGTGGCAGCTCTGCTGCTGGTTGACACGTTCGGTCGGAGGCTTCACACACCCTGCTGTCACACTAGAAACTAGAGATTTGTTAAAGGGGACTTCAAGCCCGGACTGACACACGACTGCTGGAAGTCACTCACCTGGCCTTTTGTGTCTTCAGGTTCAATTATATCAAACATTAGATATTTACTAAAGCATTACGTTAAAAGTGAGTATAAAAATGTCAAGGGGAAAAAAGAAAATGCTGGATTATAAAGATGTGTCTTGTCAAAGAATCCAAGCGGTCAGCTGTTCTCTTTCAATTTCCACTTCATCCTTTTTTCAGTCTAGTTTTTATTGTTTGATCAGTGTTTAAAAGTTAGTCCCAGTCTCAGTGTAGGTTAGCCATGGCTTTCCACTGGCTATATATTCATCGTGTAACATCTGCTAATCAAGCTGCCATTATAGTAAACAGGTGTGTGTCCACCCTGTATAACGCTTCCTGGGCCTGGCCTTGACGCTACGGCATATTTACTCTCTGGTTCTACTTTTTACGCGCTACACTTTCAGAATGCATCAAGCTCAGTAGTTCATATCAGGCCACACAGATACAGGAGTAGTGTAAAGCACCAGCAACTTTCAAAATAAAAGATACATGCAGTTTTCATTTTAAATCTGTGGAGATGTATCCTGAGTGACTGAGGATTCTAATGCACACTTGCACTGGACTTTTCACTGCTGTGCACAGTTATTAGCAGGATATCAGTCTTCTGTCTTGAAGCTAGGTCCTGATTAAGCTTTCTCGTAACTGAGGAGTGGCACAAGACTTTTCTTTTTCCCTAATGGAGAAGGCACTCTTTAGAAAAGTGCAGACTTGATCCTCTATTTGCTGCAGGAACAAATATGTGCTTTGTCTCATAATTACAGCGTCTGTCTGAGTAAAGCTGTGAATCCTTTGGTTGAGATATGTGCCCTGAGGAGGAGAGAATATCAAGGTTTATGCCTGGATTAAATGGAACAAAACACGGGCTGTGTGCCATACTTGATCAGCAAAACAGCCTTTCCATGAAAATACAGTTTCGTCGCTCTTTATGCGTTTGCACTGATGCAAAAGTTAGACTTAGTGTAACAAGTTTTGACCTATCCTGCATGTTTTTTAAGTACCTGAATAATTGGTAATTATTTTATTTATTTTATTTTATTTTTTAGAAATGCCATCTCCTCAGTTTTTTGACGGCCAGGCTCTGGTGTCCTGGAGTGATCCGGACATCACCGTCACTGTGCCCTGGTACCTGGGCCTCATGTTCCGCACTAGGCAGCCTGCTGGGACCCTCATGCAGGTCAACGCTGGACCTTCCTCCACCATCAACCTCATGGTGAGATACAGCATTTATACAAGTCAACATCACTGGAAATCAAGAAGCATTGTCCCGTCGCGTATTTGCAGTCATTGCATTTCTTTGTTCTCCAGGTGAGAGAGGAACAGGTCCGGATGGATGTTTTGCTCAGACAGCAGCTGCTGGCATCGCTGAGCTTCCCACAAGTTCGTGTCAATGACGGCGAGTGGCACCACATGCTGGTAGAAGTCAGAAGCATCAAAGACGGGAAAGACATCAAATACATGGCCGTCGTATCACTGGATTATGGGATGTTCACGGTAAGGTGCATAAAACTTCACAGAAAAGCCACATTTCCACTACAGGAGTTCTGGGATATTTCCAGGAGGGAAGAAGGTGACAGGAAAATTATGATGGCTTGGTCCTCTAACCCATTGTATATCCATACTAATTTGGTACGTTTACGCTTTCCTAAGACATCACTTATCAGCGCCAAAAAGCGTCCACCTACTGCACCCGCAACTCTTCCAATTTTACAAATGCCAGTTGTTTGACAACGTCTGCAGATATCACTTAAGTTACAACAAATCAGCATGAGTTAACCACGAGTCCCGCCCAGCAACTTTGCTTGGCCATTTTGAAATACGTACCTGGTTGGTCCCTGAAATAGCCCAAAAAGTGGGCCGGCCCAGTGAGGTGGAGACAAGTGTATGTCAGGAAGGACCGGTTAAATTACCTGGAAGTCCTGATAGTTGAAACGGGCCTCATGCTTAGAGGAAAAGTTCTGTTTTTAACTCTGTGTGTTTTCAAGCAGAAGTCCGTAGAGATTGGCAACAACCTGCCGGGCCTGAAGCTGCAGACTCTTCATGTTGGAGGGCTGCCCGGAGAGGGAAACCTTGTCAACAAGGGATTTGTTGGCTGCATACAGGTGGGTGTGTGTGTGTTGATGCTTACTAGTGGAGTTTTTTTTTATCACATTCTGCTGCGTGTATTATTTATGTATGTGTTTTTACATCTCTGCATTTCTTTCTCATCAGGGTGTGCGCATGGGTGAGACTTCCACCAACGTGGCCAACGTGAACATGGCTCAGGGTTTGAAGATCCACGTGGAGGACGGATGTGACCTGGCCGACCCCTGTGACTCCAACATCTGTCCTGAGAACAGCCACTGCAGCGACGACTGGAGCACACACACTTGCATCTGCGACCCTGGTACCCCACACACACACACACACACTCATCAACACACACATTGACGCTCAGGACTATTTGAGTTTCATTTCTTCTTCTCTACCTGCTCTGTAGGTTTCTTTGGTAAGGAGTGCACGGACGCTTGTCAGCTTAATCCTTGTGAGCACGTTTCCACGTGCGTGCGCAAACCCAGCTCCTCCCACGGATACACCTGTGAATGTGAACAGAACTACTACGGACAGTACTGTGAAAACAAGTGAGTTTTTCTGTGACCTCAAAACGAAACAAAAATGTGTAAATTCTGTTATAAAACTCCTTTATTAAAAATTCTAAATCAAGATCTTTGAGCAGGTCTTGAGCGGCATTCCCAGTTCCCAGGTTTCATGAAAGAAACAGACTAAAAATGGACTTTGATTCCAACAAAGCCCCATAATCATCTTTAGTTTCTAAAACTCTTTTTGAAACGCTCTAAATCCGTCTGTGTGCCTTTATTAGTCAGTAATCTTGTATGTGGAGCAAGAGAAAGATCTGACATCAAAAATAGAAGACTTAAAGTAGCAGCCGGCTGTTAGTGAATTTATCTAGGGGTGAATTAGCTGATCAGGAGTCATTTCTCTCTAAATCTCAGCCCTTATGACACACATCACTTCCTGTGTTTAGCATTATGTGAGATTCCTCGTCTCTGCTTGACTGATCCTCCACAGGTGTTTAGTCTTTGGTGCCCTCATATTGCCACTATCAGATCATATAACGCTGATGATGTGTAAGTGCAGAGGAAGTTTATTCTGGACGCTCAGATGTGTAGATAAATGGAGCAGATAGCCGTGAGCATAAGTGTTCTAAAACAGATGAGAGGAAAGTATTTGGAATGCTCATTTGAAATAAATGTAGTCGTGTAGAATCTTACAACAGCTACTTTTTGGTAAATTTGTGTTTTAACAGCTATATTTAGTCATTTTTAGCATTTTAACAAGTACCTTTTGCCACATTCACATAGGTATTTTGCCACATTCCGCTCTAAATATAAAAGATCATTTTATTTGTATCTAAAAATATCTACACCCTTCGTTCATTATCTATACCTGCCTATCCATGCAGGACACATAAAATAATATTCACCTTTTCATATTTAGCATTATTAAAGCTTAATTTTGCAGCATTTTTTTTAGAATTAGAGTTTTGTATTACATTTATTTAGTAAATGATGATGTTACCTAAAAATATCAGTGTTAAAAATAAATATTAATAATGAAATCTAATAACATATAATATATCTTAAAGTGATACTTTACTGAAAACCCGATTTTTAATGATTATTTCTGATTATAATCAGTCAGGCTGAACATGAAAACAGTCTCCTACACCTATTTCCTGCATTAGCTTCTGATAGAAAATAGATGGTGAAACTCTAGGCTTTGAAAATTCTGACAGATCTACGTCACTGTCACTGAACATTCATGGACTCACCCATCGTAGCTCGGGACGGGGTGTTTTAGCATCCAGAAATTAGCAGAGAATGTCTCAGCTAGCAGAAGCTAACCGTTAGCATTAGAGACTTGGGTTATTCGTGGAGATAAAACATCAACGTCGCAAAGCGAGTCAGTAGTAGAGTCTCGTTGCTGCTACCCAATCAGAGATGAGATGTCTAAATATTAGGAAATAAAACTCCAAGTCCTGCCGTCTTCAGATAAAATCTGATCTGGTTCGCTTTTAGTTTCTAAAACAGGCACACCGGAGCTTTTTTCCCCCCTGAACACAACGTACAATGCATTAATTCCAACTGGAGACCACTGCAAATGCATTAAAAATATGGGTAAAGTACCACTTTAATGTTGAAATGAAAATATAATGTTGTTTAAACTAAATATCTAGCTCATAACAAATTGCCATAAAACAGTGGTACCTTTTCAAAATAAAACCAGGTGAAAGAAACCCCCTTTTTAAAGTCTCCGAATCCTTTTGATGGTAAGATTTATAATGATTCCTCCCTGGGATCTCCTTAAATGATCCAATGTTTTACCGACCCAAACAAACTTGCCATCAAGGGGAATTTGAGAAGCAAACTGGTTCCACCATTTTCTCTTTTACAGCTGTTTGAATAAGCATTCTAGCTTGTGATTTCAGTGAAAATACACCACATTTATGTTCAAATTTCAGTATTTAACCATAACTGTTCCTATAATGTAGTTTTATTAAGCTGTTTTTTTATATTTGCTGTGTTTTTGTCATCAGAGTGGAGAAGCCATGTCCTCAGGGTTTGTGGGGCAGCCCGGTGTGTGGACCATGTAACTGTGATACAAGTAAAGGATTCCACAAAGACTGCAACAAAACCACCGGAGAGTGTCTCTGCAAGGTAAATACATGCAGAACGCTAGAATTCACTTTGTTTTTCAGTGTTTCTCTATGGCTTTTTCTTGTGTAATCCCTTTATGGAAGTTTACCACTATTTTTGTTTTCTTGACACTATATTTGGCACTGCCCAGAATAAAGCTCCATATACGTGTCTTTGTCTTTGTGTCGTCTCTCTCCTTCAGGACAACCACTATCGTCCAGAGGGCGAGAACACCTGTCACCCCTGTGGCTGTTACAACATTGGTTCTCTGTCTCGAGCCTGTGACCCCATCACTGGGCAGTGCCTCTGCAAGGGAGGAGTCATCGGGCGCCAGTGTAACCGATGTGATAACCCATATGCTGAAATAACACCCGCCGGTTGTGAAGGTGAATTTTTCTCTTATTTCCTCATAAGGAGTAAGTCCCGCGTTTGTTAACTATGATCATGAAGGTTGGATAACATGCACAGAGCGATTTGAGGTGGTCCGCATGAATTGCTGTCCGAATGAAACAAATGCTGCCACTCACATCCGCCGGTTAACTTTGCATCTTTGTCACCAACCGGTCAAGCAGAAGAGGCAAATCTGGCCAGCAGGCTGACTTGGCAGCAACACCAATCTCACACAATACAGTAAAGATGAAGAGCTGACATCAGTGTTCTTGCTATGCGACCCAGGAACATGTTCAGACTCTTAATACGCCAAACTATTCCCTTAGAAGTTTTATTTTGATTAACAGATTTATTTTAAATAAAAACAATTCTGATGCTGGGAATAAATTAGAGGAGGTGAAATGGGAATGAATGAAAGGAAGAGGTTTTGTTTGGTTTTGAACTGTGGTCACTGAGAGGGAACGACCCTGCAGGTTCTCCTCTGATCAGTCTGCTCTGCAGCAAGCACGTCCCTTCATACCAACACTCCTGCTAAAGTTACTGCAGCTTTGCATTGTGAAATGTCTTCATCTGAGCACCTCTGTCTGCCTGTCTGATACAAAGTCCAGCGGATAATCTTTAAATGGAACCAGAGCAAGTATTTAGCTTCTAACTCAATTTAACTCAGTTAAAGATGAATTCATTTTAGACTCAGTGTTTAGCTTTTAACCCAACAATAATCAGCCACTGTGGTTAAAACTGATCTTGTCTTCTTGCAGTGGTGTATGACGGCTGTCCCAAGGCATTTGATGCTGGAATCTGGTGGCCCAAGACCAAATTTGGACTTCCTGCTGCCAGGGACTGTCCTGAAGGATCAATTGGTGTGTAACTGCAAATCACTTCTAACTTATCTTATATTAACATATTCAGCTTAGCATTTATAGGTTACATTAACACACCTGGGTCAGTTAAAAACTGTATTTGCACCTGTGACAATAAAAGAACACCATGAATCTCAAGACTTTTTTTTTTTTTTTTTTTTTAACACTTTATTTTATTTTTCAGGTACAGCAATTCGGCATTGTAGTGACGAGAAGGGTTGGTTGTCACCAGAGCTTTTCAACTGCACCACCGCCACCTTCTCCCACCTGAAGAAACTGGTAAATATCACACACAGTTAACGTATGCACTTAAACATTTTGCATTGTGATACAATTAACAGTAGGCATGCAGATTGGAAATGTTTTATAATCGGATCGACTTAAGTTTCTTAAAGCTTTGTTTTGCTGCATATAATCCTTGTGATTTATATCTTCAGAGGCGCTATATAACAGATTGTTTTATTTCTTTCTTTCTTTCATTTTAGCGTTAATTTTGTTTCTCCATTTATTCACATAGCCTAACTAACCCTGTATAGAAATCTTAAGAGACAATACAAAAATCAAAGTGACTTCCTTGATTTCATAGACTTTTCCTACATAGATTTCATTCATTATGTTTTTTGAATTGTTTTTCTTTGAATATTATGAATTTAATTTTGCATAGTAGATTATTTTTGTAGAATAATTGGTTTAAAATTTTTGATTCTCCTTCTTTTGTATCAGAGAAAGGTTCCACACTTTTACCAGAGCAAAATAATCTTGTTTAGGGCCCAGCTGTGACCCCTGTGGCACCCCGTCTAAGCTTTAGTGACTCAGAAACTCATTATGTGTTTATACATGCGGATTTCTTTGATCAAGTTAAATATGTATCCCAATAAATGTTTTATCCCATACTCACCTCATACCAGATTCCAAAAGTCTGACTTCTAGCTAAAATTCTGAGGGTTATGAAGTCGAACTTTAAAAAAAAAAAGATTATTTTTTTAACCTGTTTTTAACCAGAATGAAGATCTGCATCGAAACAGTTCACGAATGAGCAGCGAACACTCCAAGGCCATTGTGCGTTTGCTTCACAGTGTCACAAATAACAATCCTCATTTCTACGGCAACGACGTAAAGACGGCGGCCCAGCTGCTGAATTATGTTCTGAAGTACGAAAGCCAGCAGTCCGGCTTCAACCTCAGCGCCATGAAGGATGCAGAGTTCAATGAGGTCGATGCAAAACACGGTCTGAAAAGGGTTTATTATTCTTAAAGGATTCTCACATGTCTAATACTTTCTTTATTTTCATTTTTTTCCCAGAATCTGGTGCGAGCTGGTAGCGCCATACTGGATCCTGACACCAAGGAGCACTGGGATCAAATCCAGAGGTCGGAGGGTGGCACCGCTAACCTGCTGCGCTACTTTGAGAACTATGCCAATACTTTGGCTCAAAACGTCAGGAAGACCTACCTGAGACCGTTCACCATTGTCACAGAGAACATGAGTGAGTCATGAGAACCTGTAAATGTAGCTTAAACATGACTCTATATTCATCTCCTTTCCTCTCCTCTCCTTTGTAGTACTAACTGTGGACTACTTGGACGTATCAAACCCTGAGAAGGCAACATTACCTCGGTTTCAGGACATCCAGGAGACCTACCCCAAAGAGCTTGGCTCCTCCATCCACTTCCCAGTATTTAACTTGCAGACACATGTCCTAAAAGGTGAGAATCCTCGTCTAATGGAATCACAGCTTTTCTTTTGGTTGTTTTGATGCTTGAATTTGTTCTCTTCCATCAGAAACCACTCCCTTCCCTCCGACCCAAACTAA